GGGGGGGCGTGTAAGTGTGTGTGTGTGTGTGTGTGTGTGTGTGTGTCCTGAGCAGCCTCCAAAGGAGGGGACTGTGGTGGGTGTCCAGCGCCCCCCAGTGAGTGTCTGCTCTCTGTCCTGTCCTAGGAGACCGCCCGGAAGCCCCCATGCCAGCTCTGTGAAGCCCCCAGCAGCCCCTGAGTCATCCTGGTGGGGGAACACCAGAAACAAGTCATCATCCAAGCCCACGTCGATCGATCCACCCTCCTTAGCTTCATGCTTCCTTCCCTGCCTGGGATGCCCCTTCACCTCCACGCTAGGTCCTGGGGCAGGACTGACCGTCCTTGAGCCCCAGGCAGCCTTGTGCTGCCTCGCTCTGCCCCTTTCCAGCCAGGTCACTCTCCCTGGTCTCTTTTGAGCCACTTCAGTCTGGGTTTGCCTTTTTACTCTCGAGTCCCTCTGTCTGGTTGTCATTCTGCCCTCTGCATCGCCATTCCTTTGCCTGTCTCTGTTTCTCTCCTCGGTTCCCCACCCCCTCTCCTGATGTTGGGCCCCACCCAGAGGTTCCCAGGATCCCTGAGACAGAAGGCAGAGAACAGGTGGCAGGTATGTGCCTCTCCCCAACTCTCCCTTCTTGACTCACCTCCCGTGACTCCTGAGGCTTCCGGATGCAGAGCATGCAGCAGATCACCATGGTGCTGACCACACCGATGAGAAATAGCAGAAAGGCACCCCGCAGGAGGGACGCCCAGGCCAGGCGGGGCACCGGGCAGCCCGAGCCCTCCTCCGCCATCACAGTCCTCAGGCAGCGCAGCATCCACTGTGCGAGGCAGAGCGAGGAGGAGGAAGAGGAGGCAGTGGGTCGATATGGGGAAGGAAACCTCAGCTCTTAGGAAGTTCTCAGGCACCTGCTTGCCCCAGCTTGCCAGGGACCAGCCCCGCCCTGCTCTGGGGATGTCCTGCAGAAGGGAGGGACTTCGGCATGTCCCACTGTGCAGGAGAGGGAAGTCCCCTCCAGCTTCTGGCAGCCCCACCTCCCTGGTGACATCAGATGGTAGCAAAGCCGCCTAAGTTGTCTATGCCGAGTGGTTGACCTCCAAGCTTCCTATTTGGTTCTCCATCCTCATCCTCCTAGATGCTCATTCATTCATTCATTCAAAAACTCTTAGCTGAGCATCTCCTATGGACCAGATACTGTGTTGGGCGCGAGGGGTACAGCAAGCGACCAGGGATTGGGAGTGCTCCCCAAAAGTCCACATGCTCCTCTCTGTGTTCCCAGCCTCCCTGGTGGTCAAGTGGGACATGCCCAACGGAAAGAGAGTGAAAGTGAAGAGCCATCACTTCTGCCCCTGGCTCTCAGAAACACCCCATATCACCCTTCAGTTCTCCCCTCGTCCTCGGAGGCCACCTGTTCTTCATATTTATACTTTTGCTGTAGACTGAAATTTCTACGTGTTCACTTCTAATTTCCACCCTATATGCGGCTGTTATCAGTTGCTGTCAAGTCCATTCTGACTCATGGCGACCCCATGTGTTTCGGAGTACAACTGCTCCATAGGGTTTTCAATGACTGTGACCTTTCAGAAGCAGATCGGCAGGACCTTCTTCCGAGGTGCCTCTGGGTGGGTTCGAACTGCCAGCCTGCTGGCTAACAGTTGAGTGCTTAACTGTTTGTGCCACCCAGGGACCTCTTCTTGATGGCTGTTGTTATGGATTGAATTGTGTCCCCAAAAAATATGTGTTGTAAATCCTAACCCCTATGCCTGTGGAGAGGAGTCCCTGGGTGGAGCAAATGGTTAAATGCTCAACTACCAGCCTAAAGGTTGGGGGTTCTAACCCACCCAGAGACACCTTGGAAGACAAGCCTGGCAAACTGCTTCTGAAAGGTCACAGCCTAGAAAACCCTATGGAGCAGTTCTACTCTGCACACATGGGGTTGCCATGAGTCAGAATGGACTTGAAGGCAACAAACAAGAACAACAATACTTGTGGATGTAATCCCATCTGGGAACAAGATTTTCTTTGTTATGGTAATGAGGCCATTGTCAGTGTAGGATGTGTCTTAAGCCATTCACTTTTGAGATGTAAAAGGCACAGAGGCAAGCAAGCAAAATGGGGGAAGATAGATGCCATGCCACATGAAGATCACCAAGGAACCAAGGAACAGAAGATGAAAAGAGACTAGGACCTTTCCCCAGAGCCAACACACAGAGAAAAAGCCTTCCCCTAGAGCCAGCGCCCTGAATTCAGGCTGAGAGTCTCCTACACTATGAGAAAATAAATTTCTGTTCTTTAAAGCAATCCACTTGTGGTATTTCTGTGATAGCAGCTCTAGATAACTAAGACAGATGGGGAAAGACCACTTGACAGATGGGGGAAATCCTTGTGGGTTTGTGGTGGGACTAGCAACAGTGCATCAAATCACTAGCTAACTACTAACTCCTCTAGTGTGAAGGCTGCTGTACACAGTGTGCAACAAGTGGGCATGGCTGTGTTCCAAGAAACTTTATCTGTAGACACTGAAATTTGAGTGTCATACAATTTCCACGTCTCACAAAATATTATTCTTTTTTAGATATTTTTTGCCCCTCCCCAACTAAAACATGTAAAAACCATTCTTAGCTCATGGGCTGTAAAAAAAACAAGGGGCTAGCTAGGTTTGGCCTGCAGACTGGAGTTTGCTGACCCCTGGATTATATAATAGGGAAGGCATATGGTAGAGAGGAACCAGGAGACTGGGTGGCAATGAGAGGGAGCCAGCCACAGGAGGAGAGAGTCCACCAGGTGGTGAGGATAGCACATGCAAAGGCCCTGTGGTGGGAATGAGCTTGGCACACTTAGAGGCTTTACAAGATCTGTGTGAGTAGGGAATGGAGGGAGATCGTATGGGACCTCAAGGGCCTGACCAGGAGTTTACAGCATATTTGTGATACTACAGGAGACAACTAAAGGAGCCCTGGTGGCTCAGCAGTTAAGCCCTCAGCTTAACTAATGATTACAGCCTTGGAAACCTTAAGGGGCAAATCAACTTGATGGCAATGGGTTTGGGTGTTTTTGAGGAGGGCATCATTGAATGATGGATTCTGACTAGTGTTTTTGGAATTCCCTTAGATGGCCAAGTGGAGAAGGGACCACACTGGGCAGGTATGGTGGCAGGAAGACCAGGGAGGAGGTTTATGCAGGCATCCAAGCAAGCAGTGACACTGGTCTGGACTAGAGGGGTGGCCAGGGCCATGAGAAGAAGGAGGTGGATATAGGATAGATTTCAGAGCTTGAACCATCAGGATTTGCTCATATGAGGGATGGGGCATGAAAGAACGAGGGCTGTCAATTTGCCATACAGAGGAGTACCCCAGGAACCCTACCCACCAAAGGAATCTCCTTCACTGAAGCCCCAAGAAGACATCATGGTTAGTAAAGTAGAGGGTCAGCAAAAGTGAAGAACACCCTCAACAGAGATGAATTGACACAATAGCTGCAACAATGAACTCAAACATAGCAATGATTATGAAGATGGCTCAGGACTGGGCAATGTTTGGATCTGTTATACATAAGGTCACTATGAATCAGAACCAACTCAATGGCAACTAACAACAGCAAAGCCCCAAGATTCTAGGCTTGGGTGTTCGGCTTACACCACCTCCAAAACGGGCTCCCTCCCCAAACTATCCCAGGCATGGTGACATGATCCTAGCAACTTTTCTCAACCTTCCTTTCTTTCCATGTTTTCCATGTGACACCTTGATGTGTCCTGAGGTCTAGCTCTCCACAAACCCCAGTTCTGGAATCTTCCATGCCACACCGTGTTGCGTTCCCACTGCAGGCCTTTGATGTCTCTGCAGCCCACCTGGTGCTCCTTCCTGATCTCCATCTAGCTGAATGCCGCCCACAGTAATTTAGCTGGTGGTAGGTGGAGTTGAGTCACTCAGCACATGGGTTCCAATCTCAGCCTTGAGGTTTTGGAAAGGTTAAGCCTTCACCAGCTTCAAGTTCAAAGTCTTCATCGGTGGCGAGAGTGACACCGGAAATGTATCGAAAGCCCTTAGTACAGTGCACGCTCGTGGCAAGAGCTGGATAAAGAACAACTCTCAATTCTGGATGAGTCACCTAGGGCCACTGTAACAAAGTACCACTAACTGGGGTAGCTTGTGAGAACAGAGAGAGGCATTGCTGACTCAGTGGGAGAATTCTTGCCTCCCATGCAGGAGATCTAAGTTCGATCCGCGGCCAGGGCACCTCATGCACAGCCACCACCCATAGGTCCGTGGAGGCTTGCACGTTGCTATGGTGTTGAACCCTTGTGGCACAACGGTTACGTGCTTGGCTGCTAACCAGAAGGTTGGTGGTTTGAACCCACCCAACTGCTCCATGAGAGACGAACCTGGTGATCTGCTTCTATAAAGATTACAGCCTACAAGACTGTATGGGGCAGGTCTATCCTGTCATGTTGGGTCGCTATGAATATCCAAGCAACTCAACGGCAGCTAACAACAACACTGTGATACTGAACAGGTTTTGGCAGAGTTTCCAGACTAAGATAGACAGGAAGAAAGGCCTGGCAATCTAATTCCAAAAATCAGCCAATGAAAACCCTATTACAGATCACAGTGGTGATATACAAACAATCACGGGGATGGCACAGGACTGGGCCGTTTTGGTCGTTGTGTAGGGGGGTCACTGTGAGTCAGGAGCCCACTCTGCAGCTGTTGACAACACCAATAGCAACATTAACACAGAAAACAATCCTCAGCCACTCTCAGCGATGATATGCCGATGAAACCAATCAAGTGTTGACAGAAACGAGTACAAGATGACTCAAACCAAAGGAAATTCCAGGGGGCTCAAAGATTTCAGGGTGAAAACATGAAACCATAAAATTACTAAAAATATGGGAACTACATAAAAATTCATCTTGGTGTGGTGAAGACTCTTCAAGCGTGTTAAAGAAAATAAAAAGGTACAAAATAAAACATTTATATATTTTGTATATAAATTGGGAATTTCTTGATTTAAAAATAACTTCAAGTCAATAAAAAATAGAAAAATAAAAATACCTTTGAGTTAAGAGGGGGAGAGTGTTGACATGCCATGGGTTTGCCAACCAATGCCACAAAACAATATGTGTATTAATTGTTTAATGAGGAACTAATTTGCTCTGCAAACTTTCATCTAAAGTACAATAATATAATAATAATAAAAACCTTCAAGTTAAAAAAAAAAACAAACCCACACATAAAGGACAAGCAGGAAGCTGGGGAGAAAAAAAGATTCGAAAGACCAATGGTGTACAAGAGGCCGATTTCCTTGAGATATAAATACAGTAACTTAGGGGCTAAGTCATTAAGAAATGAGTAATGCCTATTAGAAAGATGGAGAAAAGAATATGAATAGCTAGTTTATGAAAAGAAATCCAAATGCTTATGAAAAGGAGTTGTGTATTTCATAATAAGAGAAGTAGAAGTTAAAACCACAATGAAAAACATTTTTATTTTTCATCTATGGTGTGGCAGAGAGCAGTGGGGGCTGAGAAGAATTCTCGCCTTCCATACTGGAGACGTGGGTTTGATTCCTGGCCAGTACACCTCATGAGCAGCTACCACCCAATCTGTCAGTGAAGGCGTATGTGTTGCTTTGATGCTGAACAGGTTTCAGTGGAGCTTCCAGATTAAGATGGACTAGGAAGAAAGGCCTGGAGATCTACTGAAAACCAGCCAGTGAAAACCCAGCAGATCACGAAGATCCTATATACAAAAACACCTCAAGACTCATTCATGATTGAGGCCTTGGCAGGTT